ACTGTTTGCCTGCGTATGCACGTGCGCTGCTATCCGTAGTTATAGGAGAGATAGCAAGCTGGTGCTGCTTGTGAGATGCAAGCGCGTAATCATAATGCTGGTGACACGCATGCGTGGTTGAGTGAGCCTTCCCAAGCGTAGTTTCGTACCCAGTGCATGCTCTCTTGTATAGAGCAAAGGCTTCGTTGTAGCGACGCTGATGTGTAAGAAGATTGGCAAGGCAGTATACGCTCGTCAGCGTGGATAGGTGCTCATGCCCGAGCACCTTCTCCCTCCGCGCCAGCGTCTGTCGGCTCATCGCCTCTGCCTCTTCGTACTTGCCCTGCCTATCTAGTAGTAGTACTAACTTGTGCATACTCATCAGCGTGTCTGGATGCTCATGCCCAAGCACCTTCTCCATTAACGTTAGCGTCTGTCGGCTCATCACCTCCGCCTCTTCGTACTTGCCCTGCCTATCTAGTAATAGTACTAAGTTATTCATACTTATTAGCGTGTGTGGATGCTCATGCCCGAGCACCTTCTCCCTCCGTGCCAGCGTCTGTCGGCTCATCGCCTCTGCCTCTTCGTACTTTCCCTGGCTGCCCAGCACGTGTGCCAAGTTGTGCATGCTCATTAGAGCGTGTGGATGCTCATGCCCGAGCACCTTCTCCCTCCGCGTCAGCGTCTGTCGGCTCATCGCCTCTGCTTCTTCGTACTTCCCCTGGCTGTCCAGCACGTGTGCCAAGTTGTGCATGCTCATTAGCGTATGCGGATGCTCATGTCCAAGCACCTTCTTCCTCCGTGCCAGCGTCTGTCGGCTCATCGCCTCTGCCTCTTCGTACTTCCCCTGGCTGTCCAGCACGTGTGCCAAGTTGTGTATACTCATTAGTGTGTCTGGATGCTCATGCCCGAGCACCTTCTCCATTAACGCCAGTGTCTGTCGGTTCATCGCCTCTGCCTCTTCGTACTTGGCCTGGCTGTCTAGCACTTGTGCTAAGTTGCCCATGCTCGTCAGCGTGTGTGGATGCTCATGCCCAAGCACCTTCTCCCTCCGTGCCAGCGTCTGTCGGTTCATCGCCTCTGCCTCTTCGTACTTCCCCTGGCTGTCCAGCACGTGTGCCAAGTTATGCATGCTCATTAGCGTGTCTGGATGCTCATGCCCAAGCACCTTCTCCATTAACGCCAGTGTCTGTCGGTTCATCGCCTCTGCTTCTTTGTACTTGCCCTGGCTAATCAGCACTAGCGCCAAGTTGCTCATGCTCGTCAGCGTGTGTAGATGCCCATGCCCAAACACCTTCTCCATCCGCGCCAGCGTCTGCCTATGCATCGCCTCTGCCTCTTTATACTTACCTCCAAGCTCTCTAGCTAGTCCCACCATCCCCATGCTCTCTAATATTCTCACATCTTCTTCCCCAAGCTCTTCACTCCTAACCTCCATCGACATCATCGCCATCTCCTCTGCCTCGCCTGCTCTCCCCCGTCGCCACGCGTACCATGCCGCCCTATATAGCAACAACGCCCACTTCTTTCGTGACTCTTTACTCTTAGGCCCCTGTGCTAGTGCCGCTCGTGCGTGTGGAAATAGCGCTTGGCACTTCTCCCAGTTTTCGTGCTCTCCTGTCGGCAGCTCTGCACACAGGTTCGAGATAAACTGCTCTCTCCACTTCTCTAACTGCCCTTCGTTTTCGAGCCACGTGCGCGTCGCTAGCTGCACTAGGCTATGCATCTCAAATGTGTCTGCATTTCTAGTCACCGTGATAAACGAGTAGTCTCGCAGGGCTAGCACATCCTCTTCAAATGCGTCGTCTACTATGCTGCTCTGTTGGTGGAGTAGAGCTTCCTGGATCCCCTGTCGGTCGAAGAAGCTCATCAGCGACAGCAGGCCTGCTGCTGACTGTCTTGTGCTTCGTATGTGGTCGAACGAGATCTGCCACGTTACCAAGACAGAGTTGCTGGCTGCTCTATCTCGGCGAAGGTGACCCGCCTCCCGGTTTAGCAGACTCGTCTTTCTGCGATCGCTCTGCCGGTACTCCTCGAGGTACTGCCGCACAGAGCACCGTGGTGCTCGTTCTCGAATATATGCTGCCGCCTGCACGAGAGCAAGCGGCATATAATCGAGCGTCATAGCTAGCGTAGCGATGTTGTCGTCTTTGTCGTCTATGTCCCTTAGCTTCTTACGGAGTAGAGCGTGTGCAGCTGCATCGTGCATTGGCTCGATTAGTATAATGTTACTATCATCCACAATCTCCATCGCTGCGCGCTTTGTCCGACTCGTCACAAGGACGGCGCCGTGCCCGCTGGAAGGCAGATACTCCGATAGATGCTGCCGGAGACCACTGCTGCCCTCTGTTGGAGAGACTATAGCAGCATCATCTGTATTGTCGAGCACTAATAGCCACCGTCCGTTCTTCGCATCGCACAGCCAGTCGCGCACTAGCTTAAACACGTCTGCTTGCGGGTCCTTGCGGCCGCGAGCCCTGACCTGGTCGGCGATCTCCCGGAAGCTCTGCTCGAGTCGCGCGGTGTTGCTCGCATGCGCCCAGAACACCCACGTGTCCAGCGACTGTTCGGCGGTGCGGTAGCAGTGCTCGATGGCTAGCTGCGACTTCCTGTGTCGTATGTTAGGTGTGAGCACCGACCTAATGTTTCTTCCTTGGGCTTACCCCACGCCGCCGAGGCCCACCAGCGCTACCCGCGATGGTGGCGCTGCGCATCGTTTGCTAATCTGATCGAGCAGCGTTCCATGGTCGATGAAGTCTGGGTCGCGTGGAAACGGGACGCTAAACGACGGTTTAGGCGTTGTCTTGGGTCGTTCTAGCGTCGCGCTGTCGTCAGCGGCTAATAAACAAGCGCACATATTTCAATAGCATTTAAGGCCGAGTTTACCTGATGGTAGATAAGTATAATTATATACTAAAACCAGCATAGTCAGTACAGATTCATCGAAGTGGACTTAAGCACGCTGTGAACGGATGCTAGGGAAAAAGGAATTGCCTCGATTGAGAAATCGGTGTGACCACACGAGGACGATAATTACGTACTAGAAGGGCCCTCATTGTACACTCTAGGATTGTTGACCTGCCGATTGTTGCTTCCACCAACTACATAATTCGTAGAACTGCCGCCTTCATTGGCAATAATGTTACCCGCTCCAGTATGTGTATACTTGCCGTCCTCATCCGCTAGTGCTTTCGTAACTTGCTCCAGTGCGTCCAGCTTGTCGCCAATAACATAGATCTCCTTCTGCTCTAACAGTTTCAAGTTGTCTTGAATGATCACCAGAAGCCCCTGTGCCTGGCTGTTTCGGCCGAAGAAGACAGTCTTTGTGCCTCTCCAGGTGCGCTTGGTACGATTCTCCTTGTCTTTTGGGCACGCTTTCCTGAATATGTCTCTTAGTTCAGCTAAAGCCTTCTCGCACTGTTTCAAAATCGGCTGTGCGTTCTTGCTAGCATCCTCTGTGATCCTCCCTTCCTCGCAGCTCTCCTGCGCACTTTCCAACAGTTCTTGGATTGCTGGCAGCTTTTCGAGCAGGTCTCGAAGCTTTGGCGGTAATCCTTGAGCATCGTGAACGGCACGCCCAATGTCGATGATCGTATTAGCGATGCCGATGCAGGCGTCGATCAGCTGGATGGCGGTAATGGCTTCGGCACCGGACATTTCAAATCATCGGCGCGTACACAAGCTGAGTGTGTTGGGCAGGTATGGGCGCGTATTTCGGGGGCAGAATGGTATTCTAGCAATGCAGGCAGGCAGACAGGCAGACAGACAGACAGACAGACAGACAGACAGACAGACAGACAGACAGACAGGCAGGCAGGAAGGCGAGCAAGCCACTTATAAAGCAGACCGACGAGGTCCTCGTGGGGCTAGGACTAACATGGTCGCTTGTGCACGAATTGGAGGAGCTGCATGTTCATATCTTGGGCTGGGCTGAGAGCTGATGGAGGTGGAGTCGCGGCTGATAGAGCGGAAAGGGTCTGGCGTCCCCGGGGTTCCACCTCTCGGGCAGGCGCTTACTGGTGTACATGGGTATATTTCGTCAGTTTAGTTTTTCGACCTAGGCAGGGGTTCTATCCAGCTAGCCAAAGATGGGATGGTTTGATTATCAGTATGGAGTTGGGCCACCCTCAGCAGCAATTACAGTTTCACATCGCCTCCCCATACTATTTATTATATTTTTTAGATGCTGGGTTGAAATTTCCTCCCAGGCTTCATACATTACCTCCTTAAGCCCCCAATTAGTCTGCTGCTGCTCATAGTCAATATATCCATCAACAATCTCCTTCATCTTCGCCCATACTAAGTCAGTAGAGTTCAAATCTGGGGAGTAAGCAGGCCAAGACATAGTTACAATCCCTCTCTGCTGTAACTCAATTCTAGTTAAGATAGCTTTATGGGATGGAGCATTATTATGCATAAATATTAGCGCTGGTCTCTCCTGTTTAAATTACTCCACCCGCGATACGATCGTTCTGCAGTATCGTACGGCATTGATCGTGCCTTCATCTGGATCCCAGAGATATATTGGACCTTTATTGCTACTAATAAAGCTACCCCAAAACATGATACTCTTCCGTCGCTTGATTTTGGTAACGACGCAGGTATCCTCCATGGCCTCACCAGCCGTACGCGTGATATACATCCCATTGGGCCGTCACCCACGAATATACGTCTCATCAGACCAGAGAACGTTATCCCATTAAGCCCACGTCCAGTAAACATACTCCTGCGCCCGACGGAGGCGCACCGCTTGATTTACTACGTTGATAGGTGGTTTGATGCAGGCAGATCTTTGATAGAAACCGGCGTTTCGGAGGGCGTTCGTAATCGCGATATAGTCGATACCCCAGTGCTGAAATACTATGGATAGCGTTGTCCAGCACATTTAGCGGGCCATTTTAGACGACCTGATAAAGGCAATAAACTCTGCTATTTGCTCGCGTGATAGCACTGTTGGTCTACCTGATCTTTTCTGTGGGGTAATTGGCATAGAAAGCGCGTATTGAACTGATCGGTAGGTAACGTTAAGCTGTTCGGCAATCTGCTTATAAGTGAACCTCGCTTGCCACAACGTATGGATCTAGAGACGCTGGTCTCGCGTCAGCTGTTTTCGCCTAGTTTGACGAGCTTCGATTACTAGTACGTCCATAGTTGCTAGATACAAAGAGAAACTCCTATAATTGTGAGGATAGGGGGAGAGCTTAGTGATGGACACAGAAAGATTGTTGTATCCAAAACGGGATTAGACGAAACGGGTAGTTCGGACCGAAGGAGCGCTAAAAACTGAACTAACAAAATATACTCATGTACACCAGTTGCTTCCGCTCGCAACATGTGATAGATTACCGCTAATATACTTGCGGCTTTTCTATACGACCCGCAGCTAACGCCTTAAGCCGTTGATCCTGCAGTAGAACCTGCACCACAGCGCCACAATATTAGATACCGTAGTACTTCGCTCGGGAAAGTCTCTTTGTATATGTTTGTATAGCCTTACGAACTCTGAGATATATGCGAGAATCCTCCAGAACTTCCGAAGCCGACCGAGGCTGGGCTCACGTGCATGCTGGCAGCGAATTGTGGTATTGCTAGCCACACAGTAACCTTTTACCAAAGATATGCAGTTCAGAGGAAGCACTGCAGTCTAGGTCTCTATTCCGTGATTCTACAGGCTTCTCAGCTGTGGCTGAGTTTGTTGTGGTAGGGAGTGTGACCGGCATACCGTCACGCATGGTTTTCCGCCACACGTGGAGGGATAGTAATCAGGTTTGATTTGAGATCCTCCTTCATCTTCTGGCTGCCGCTTTTCCCATAGTCGAAATGCTGAAGCCGGTGGTTCATATTTGGCAGATTAATGATATGGCATGCCATTGTTAGGCACTGCAGTAAAGATAGCGTGCCGAGGCATATCCGAAATATCTTGCGAGTCAAGGGTCGAGCTGTATGATGGGGCAGGTGAAGGCATATTCTCGAAATCGATCAAGGCCATAATAATGGTGCTTGCCTATTAGTGCAGGTAGGCAAAACGAAGGAAAAAAGCTAGCAGAGAAAAAGAAAGAAGTGCAAAATACGCTCGAAGAGAGAACCAGCTTTCTGAGTTAATGATTAAGGAAATGACATTGTAGGTCGGAAATCGTCCACCTTTGTATGCATGATCAGGATCAAAATACACAAAGCGTACGGCTGAACACAGCATCGTGGCGTGGCAAAGATACAGTTGTTTGGTTGCGATTGCTTAACGGTGTTTTGAGTTTTATCCATGTCTGCATGAGACTCGGCCTTTGTGGTGGAGTGGTGGTGAAGAGATGTGGGAGCTGACAGTTTTGAAAGTCTAACTTCGGTCGTAAACGATTGGTCCACCGGCGTCGACCACAGCTGCAGAGTATAGGGTTCCGCCCTATTGACTTTTAGACCACAATGTTGCGCTCTCATGGTAACTGAATCAGCAAATCAGTTAATCACTCGCTTTTCACAATTCAGCAGAGCTGCAGAGGACAACCGGTCCACCATAAAGGTTGTCGAAATACATTTGCGGGTATCATAGCATAACTCCTCAACGCCTCGGAAACGTACACAAGATGCAGTCATTATTTCCAGGCCTGATCAAGCTTTTGCTTTGCCCTTTCCCGTGCCAGCAGGCCTTCCTCGCTTCTTTCCTGCTGCAGCTGGTTGTGCGCGAGCAACTGGTTGTCCATCTGACCGTCTCCCCTCGGCAGCTCTGATTTCCTCTAGCTCCTTCTCCAGCATGGCTTGCAGCTGCTCATTGCGTCTACCGAGGAGGAGGACATCATCTGGGTTGATTGTTTTGCGTCCCGCATGCTTCGAGAACACTTCGAGATCCCGGGCTGTGTTTGCTAGGAGTACATTAGCAACTCTTTGATAGATGGTTTGGAGGGACCAAGGATCGGAGCATACCGATCTGGGTATAGACGAGTTCAGTCAAGGCACCGATGAATTGCGGAGTGGCATTTAGATCGCTTTCCAAAGACTTGTCGTCAACGAATTGGCCGATTGCGTACCAGAGAGCGGACTTGAGCCGCTACAATCTTGTTAATACATGAATTAAGTATAAATGCATTGGGCTGTCTCTGACCTCCTCGCGCTCTGCTGCGGCATCGTTAGACGCCATCTGCTACAAATGTGGGTGTGAAGCCGTTGCGATAGTCTGGCAATGCGACGGGCAGACGCGACGCGTCCATGGTTCTGGTGGGGCCTGGGTGGCAGAAACCATGTCACCGCCCATGGTTGCCATCTGGTCTACGTTTTGAGTGATTTATCGCGCGCAACTTGTCCATTGATTGAAATTTCTCTCTACTTGAAACCCTTACGCTTTTCGACCATCTTCTCGACGCATCTACTTGTTTGCGCCTGCACCAGCCCACAGTACCGCGGCCAGTAACAAATCCTCTTTCGCAAAACATCCTCCAGCGCATACGTCGCTCCTAAACACATCCCCCAATACATCAGCCATGGACTACATACTCGACAATGTCGGCGAATGGAAGGACAGGCTTGTAAACAACTCAATCAAGTCATTTGAGGAAATGACTGCTCAGCGCTGGGTTCGCATCGTCGCCATCGTAGGAGCATACCTTCTTATTCGACCATATCTGCTCAACGCAGCCGCCAAGAAGCAGAAACAACAACTGGATAGAGAGGCCGAGGAGCTAGGCCTGGGAAAAAGTGATGCGCCAGACGCGAATGACTTCCGTGGCAAAGGCGTCAAAGTGGCAAAGGGCGAGGTGAAGAAGAAGGAGTAGGATTCGAATGCAGAGAAACAGAACGGATATCATGATAGAGGATAGTAATAACTGGAGGGTCTGAGGGGGAAACTTGCACGGCCGTACCGCGCAACATATGGCGTTCTATGTCTTACGCTTGGGGAATACACAAAATCTTTAAGAAGGGTCTGAAAGCATGATTGGATTGGGAAATATCATGCTTCACAGAAACATTTTGTTCCTCGCCCTGTCGCATCTACATGGCTTTACGACATATATATAATCGTACTCTAGGAAATGGGATGCAGCAACGAAACGGCAGTCCAAGATTCTTTCGTAGTCATACCCGATTGCCTTCGCCCTATCGCTTCATTCAAGCTATTTATTTCTGATTTATCAACCGTTTCCTCTTGAACAATCGTTCACTTACCACCAGTGTTCAATAGTAGCAGCACACATCCAACTCTGAGGCAATTCAATCGGGGTAGATACGGTCAGCAGATCGAGTTGTTGTCGCGACATTAGTTTGAATGAATCGTTTGTAACCTCGGAATTGCGTTTGTAGCCTAGCACGTCTTTATATCGCCAGCGTGTAGCACGTACACCAAAATCCTTTTGGCTACCAACACTTTCACTGTAACTCCATTCACAAGCTACCCTTCACCTCTCCCAAACGGACTGTAACATTGACATTCAAACCCCTAATATGTCTTTTTTGAACTACACCAAGGACCTTCAATGCCCAACGACGACCAATATCGCAAGGCCGTGCAAAGCGCAGTCGAAGACATTGCTTCTAAGCGTCACACAAAAAGTTCATCCCAACTCGTTATTGAAGCTGTGATTGAGGGCGTGAAGCTATATCGCAGTTACAAGAAGGAAGAGAAGAAGGAAAAGCGAAAAGACAAACAGAAGGACCATAGGGGACGCAGAAAGAGAGACGGTATGAATGACAACCAAAGAGATGGAGATTACCAACGTCACAACCATGCGCCCTATGAGCGGACTGATGGATCAAGAGAGAGACATCAGCGTCAACATCACAACCGGCCGCGCGGTAGAGACCATGAACAATATAGTGACAGCTCACACAGTAGGTATCAGTGTGGTTCCAACGAGGAGCATTACAAAGATAGAAAAAGAGATTGCCCAGTAAGTCGCGCAAGTAGGTATCAAACCCCGTGGCAGGAACTGAAAAAAGAGAATGCTCAAACATCCCATCCCCAACATCGTGACGGGATAGAGGCCTCGAGATCTCACCATCAGTCTCGGGCCGAACAAAGACACCCAGGCGCGCGAACAGGAAGGATAGGTGCATCTGACTCTCCAACTCGTCAGCAGAGAGGTCCCGATGGCACACCATTCGGCAGCCTACCCAAGTACAGATCCAAACCAGGCATGACCTTTGAACTTGGCAATCACTTCATAAACACGTACAAGCATATCAAGGCCGAGCACGATGCTGGATACAGATCGAAAGGGTTCATCCAGAAAGCATTGGATGAAGTAAGGAAGAAGAAACTAGAGGCAAAGACTAGGGAAGAAAGGATGAAACATGATTGGAATAGAGAAGGGACCCTGAGAAATGATAAAGTTCGGAAGAAGCAGCCCGAGATTGACGAACGGTATAAGCAGCGAATTGAGGTCTATGAGTGGAAGCCCAAAGCTGCTGAGGCTGAGGCACGGGGGCGCCATTACCGAAACCGAAAGGACCGTGGACGAATGGGTCAAGATGGTGAGCAAAGATGGAGAGTTGCTGGTCAGAAGAGTAGTCAGGGCGCGCCAGTTCCTGTAATACGTGTCCGATCTGCATCACCTGTTGGAAGTCCTGAACGAACAATTCCTCCTAGTTATAGATCAAGGCCATTGTCAAGACCCTCAGGACCTCAAAAGTCTCAGGTTAGGAGCAAGAAGGAGATGTGTCAATCTGGAGCAACATCGCGCGATCATCAAAACAGTCAAGAAGCCCCGATTCCGGGAGATTACGATTACGAAGACAGTCACATTGAATACAGAGAAACGCACCCTCGGTCAAATAATTTTGATGACCCTCAACGCCATGGTATAGCTTCCTCTCTCGTAGGCAACCAATCGTCAATAGAGTCGGAAACCACCTCCAGAGTTTCGTCTCCCATCATGTCACATGCGCCTCCACCTCCGCCTCCGCTACCCATATTGAGAGCGGCTGGTAATGGAAGAGCAGCTCGACTCGAATCCATTCAAGGCGGAATCGAGCAGCTCAAAGTAGCTTCTCCAAACGAAAAAGGCAAGTCGGCAAGTTCCAGTGCAGGAGGAGCTTTGTACGAGCAAACAGAGTATAGCCAGGAGGTTGAAGAGCGAGAACGTGCTCAAGTAGAAGGGTCAAATGTTGGGGGAGACGCTCAGCCATAACCGAACAGAGCGTTCCGTCAAGACCTTTTGGATGCACTCCAGAGACGGAATGCTACAGGACCAGGTACTGTTGCCCATAACTTGACGGCAATGAGAGATTGTTCTAATTAACAACAAACTGACAACAGGCTCTAGTGCATCGATAATTACAGGTGTAGTCCACAGGTAACAGGAAGAAGGTATATCCTTGCATGAATAGTTGAGATGTGTGGGCTCACTGTCGTCGCAAATGATGCGGTGCAACTTTCTAAAGCAGAAAGTGGAGAGGAACTATTTTCTACACTGGCGGCACATATTGCGCGGGCTGGCTGGAGCTTTGACCGAGTAGGAACAACAGATTGGTGGGCCAGAAAGAGATGCAGCAGGATTGGGGTGGGGCGGGTATGTCGGTGGTGAGGGTGAAAGGGGGCATAAACAGGTGGACTATGCGCAGGCGGGTCCATGCTCCATTTCGCGGCTAAGCTCTGGACCGCGCGAAGTGACGCCGGGTCTTGTGTCCGCCCTTCATCCCTATTCCTCTAGTTGTAAACTTTCAGTACAGGTGGTCGCATCTCTAAACTTTTGCCCTTTTTTCTCTGCCGCTCTTTAGCTTTTGGCGTCAACATCGTTCTGTGACGCGCAATCGCATCTCCCCCACATTGATCATTGACCGTTGCCGGACCCTGTGCCATCAGACCAACCGCAAGCCAGCCCGCGCCCGCCCGCCCCAAACGGCTTATCCAGTCTAACCACCACACATTCGCTCTATCTCTCTTTTCCTCTACCTGTCCTCCCCGCACACACACACAAGGCACAATGCGCGTCTCATCAGGCATCCTCCTCGCCCTCCCGGCGCTTGCTGTCGCCGAGGAGCAGCAAATCCCTATCCTCGACAAGGTCAAGGGCTTCTTCAACAAGGCGTCTGCTGCCGTGTCCTCTACTATCTCGGCCTCAATGCCATCGGCGCCAGTCGAGGCAGCAGCCAGCGAGGCAGCGGCCAAGGTGGTCGAGGTGATCCAGCACCCGTTGACTCTGGAGAACTGGAAAGAGGTCTTGACAGTCGACCCGACCGCCAGCCCGCCCACCACCCAGGACTGGCTCGTCTTCACCACAGGCGGCAACAACACATGCTTCGGCCTTTGCGGAAACGCCACCAAGGCCTGGAATGTGCGTACACCACAACATGCTGCTTCTAGAAATGCGACACTAATATAACCCTCCAGGCCTCTACTCCCTTCATCGCTGCCATGCCCAACGCGCCCAAGCTCGCGTACCTGGACTGCGAAACCGAGGGTGTTCTGTGCAACTCGTGGTCCATTCACGCGCCGTCTCTGTACTTCTTCCAGATCCCTAAGCCACTCCCCGACCAGTCGGCGCCTGTCCCTGTCGCTCGCTACCAAGCATTGAACCGCACTACCACTACCGCGGAAACGATCAAGAAGCTCATTGTCGATAATGAAATTGCTGAGATTGAGCCTTACTGGGGCCACTTCCACCCTTTCAATGGCACCATGCAGCAGTATAACCTCGCTGTTCCCTACGGCTACTTCACCTATGGTTTCTCCAAGATGCCTTCGTGGCTCCCCATGATCATCATCTCGTTTGTCAGCAGGTCTTTCATGTAAGTCGTTGCCTAGTACAGTCGCAGCGCGCATAACGCTAACTCTCTTGTAGGGGCAATCGCATGGCCGGACCCACCCCCGCCCAACGAGCACCACGGTAAACGGATAAACTCCCATGTCTCTGTTGGCTTTCGCCCTCGACAGAGGGTGAGCCTGAGCCTTGTGCGCGATCCCACACAATACGTCTTGGTATCGATACGATATCCATATACCTATCTTGTAATTGGATCTCCTCCTAGAACGAATTACGGGTGTCTCTGAAAGGACATGTTGAGAATGCTAGCGTTATAAAAAGAAGTGTATATGAGAGACTGCGGCGATATTGAGGAAAGAATATGCAGTAATAAAGCAAAATTTGATATACGATTCACTATCACGTTGCAAAGTGTGTTCCGAGAGTTGTGCTGGTTTGCGACTGTATTTCACCCATGTCAGTTGACTGACCTTGAAAAGTAGAAGAGCAACACTGCCAATGTTGCTTCAACCATCACTCTGTCTTCAAGAAATCTTGGATGGAAAAGGTAAATTTCCATGCATTTCGTGACGTGATGCCCGAGATGAAAGAAGCGCAACACGATGTACCATCGCAGTTATGAACAAGGGGAATCAACAAGCCTATTTACAACACGCTCACATGCATCAGATATAACCCAAAAGAAAAGCGAGAAAAAAAAGAACAGCTCCGTCTTTCCCCCTTCAGTCCCCTTCTCTCAAGTCCGCTGCACACTGCTCACAATCGTAGGCTCATCATCCTTCTTTCTCACCCATTTCTCCTCGTCGACCTTCCGCTTGGAGTTCCGATCGCTGCCATGACCACGACTTCCTCTTCCGCGCCACGGTGTGCCACCACCATTTCCGCCGTTACCACCACCAGCCCCTCCACGTTTCGGCCTTCCATCCTGTCCGCCACGGCCACGGCCAACCTGGAATTGTATGCGAGTAAGCGGGTGCTCGACCCAATCGACACCCTTGAGACCCAAATTGTTCTTTTCCCAATCACTCAATTTCCACGCCTGGTACAGTCCCATTAAGCGCTGCTGGTCGATTTCCTCTTTGCCGGGTCCAAGCGAGCGCGTGAGCTTGAGGCCGCGCAGTTCAGGGACCCAGGCTTTGATGTATTCGCCGTGCTTGTCGTAGTCAAGAGCTTGCTTGACGGGGTTGAAGATGCGGCCCTGGCGGGGATCGTTGCCCACGCCTGCTACGTATTGCCAGTTTCCCCAGTTGCTGGCTGGGTCGTAGTCGACGAGGAAGCATTCATACCATTCTGCGCCTACGCGCCAGTCGATGTTCAAATGGGATGAGAGGAAGGAGGCGACGTTTTGGCGGGCGCGATTCGATGTGTAGCCTGTGACAAAGAGCTCGCGGTTCGAGGCGTCGATGAGACCGACGCCTGTTCGTCCGGAGCGGAATCGCTCAAAGACTTCAGCTGTTTTTGCTGGATCGTCGCCTGGGCCCTTTGACCATTTCAGGTTTTTCCATTTGTTGTCGCATTCTTTTTGGTCGATAGTTTGGATGCCGTAGAGGCTGAACATTTTGTACCCAAACTTTCGCATGCAGAGACGCATATAGTCTCGCCACAACAATTCAAATCGAACGGCTGCGGTGCCTTCATTTTCGCCTTTGCCGTAGCCTGGTACTTTTTCTCCTGGTCCTCGCCCCTCCTCAAAGTCAAACATGGCCCAGTGAACTTGACGAGCCGTGATATGGCCTTGTGCGAGGTAGGCCGAGATTTTAGTACTGAAGTCGAGACCAAGCATGCCATTGCGCGTGGCTTTGTAGGAGCTCATTGCTCCTGTTCTGACTAAATGTTCTATCCGGTCAAGACCATTTGCTTCGCCGCCAGAAAAAGGATGTGCTGATTGAGCGTCGGTCGGCCATACCGGTGGCACTTTCAGAGTGTATGTTGGGTCTTTTAGCAATGGGGTAAGTAGAGCATTTTTTAATCCTTCCAAAGTCGAGGGTATAGTAAACGGCGATTTTTGCGGCGGTATCCTGGAAGGAAGCGGGGGAAGTTGTGTGGGGGTGGGTACGGTGTTTCGGGGTCGGTCGCGTAGCGGTTCTAGGCCCTTTCGATATGTGGTGTAGACATTGGGCAGTTTGGAGATATCTTCATAGTAGGGTAGATCCCGGCTATTTTCAGGTTAAAAAAGGATTACTCCGACTTGACGTCATTCAAAGGATTTGGGTTGCTTACTCGTCCACATAATACTTCTCGTCGACCCAAACCTTAAAATCTACACCACGCTGTTCTGTGATCTTTTTCAGACTTGCTGCATCATCCTTCTCTTCGGTTGCATCATCGTCTGTAATCCAAACTCCGCTGATTATACCCTCGTTTTCGTTTTTGTCGTACCAATCCAGTATGTCGGAGACCACGTCGGGAATTTTTCCGACACGCATCTCCAGGCCTGAGCCACAATTTAACCCCGCAAGCTTATCTTTGAGATTCCATACCCCATCGGCGATGAATTTTGCGCGGTGAGGGCCTGTCCGCCACACTCCCGCCTCTCTACTGCGTGCCTCAGGGTATGGACATTTATCGGATGGTGAGGAGAGAAAGCCCGAGACTTCGATCTGGTTGGCGGGGAAGACAAAAACGGGTAAAAGGTGGGTGAAATTTGTGCGGCCGTGTTCCGAAGTCAGCGAATCATCGCGATGCCGCCGATCGGAGCTTGACGAAGATTTTGAACTCGGTCGGCTGGTCTGGAGGGATGCAGCGTGGAATACTGGGTTATCTGAGAGGCGGGCATCGCGGCGCAGTATGTACAAGAGGATGCGAGGGACTCTAGGAGTCATAATCGGGGCCTCTTCGCTGTAGGTACTGAAAGTGCGTGTCGAGCAGAAGGAACAGAGGAATAAATCGCAGGTGTTGCACGGCGGCCAGGAACAGCTACGTCGTAACATCAAGGTTACGATGCATGGAGAGTCCAGGAGTAGCGGTAGTTTGGCAAAGACATTCCAGTGCCAGCGGGCAAAAAAAAAGATGAATAGAGTTGTGTAGCTTCAGAGCCAGTGGGACAGCATGAACCTATGATGGCGACAATGGAGCTTCACATCGAAATTTCTGGGGCACGAGATGATCGAAGCACTAGAGGGAGCCCTAAATGTCATCTGTCAACCACGTTAGGACAGACCCCACTGCAAGGGGTGCAGATGGTCGAAACTGAGGAGATCCGGTTCGAGATTGGTGATGCCTGCTGCAGCATCGCTGGCCGGGGTTATGACGTGAGGGCCGAATTAGCGCGCCGCCACACTCCGCCATGCTTGGGCAGGCCTGCTGCAGGGACGCATATCGAGCGACTTGGGACGGGCCGAGCGTTCGTGGGCAGCTGTGGATGGCAGCGATGGGCGTGCTACAATGAAGCAGCGGAGCGATCGCGAGACATTGTTGTGGCTACGCCATGCCCGCTCAAGTAAGGCGGCACGAAAAGCTGATAGATGGCTCGGTGCCCAGATGCACCGCAGCAGGGGCCGCCAATCGTCCTGCATCTCCCTGCTCCC